CATGTTGCTGATGAGATCACAAAATGCAAGCTAATTCAATGTTAACTCTGTCAGCAATGACAATATCTTAGTTTATATTTATTCTTTAAAATATGTCAGGCTTTTTCCATGCCTAGGTATAAGATCAGGAAATGCAGGAGGCTCAAAGAGGATCCCAAACGTGTTTTTCATTTTCCCACAACACTTCCGCAGCCACTAACAGGCCTGGGAGGCGGCACCATCACTCTATTTAAAAATGTCTACTTTCTGACCCCATCGCAATGATTTCAATGAGCAATCCTAATCACTTAGCAGCATACATGATCAAATTTCTGGCAGTGTCTGAATATCCTTACAGAAGTAAATGATTTTTATGGAGACATCAAGTCTTGGGTGTACACCTGAGTCCAGGGAATTCAGAGGTGCTGTTCAGGTCACAGCAAACATGTACTCAACCTGGACGCTCTGGTGACCCCGAGAAAGTCCCTTCTTTATTCTCTGCTTTGTTTTCTCCATTTGAAAAAGCCAACAAACAAGGGTTGCAGTGAAATGTCCACATGCTGGCGAAGCTTTCAAGGCGTCATCAGATTACTAAGATTTGTTATTATGCCCCCGTGCACAACTCCAATGACGGTTCCCTTGGCCAGAGCCATCAAGGAATTCTTGCTGGTGACAACACCAGCCACTGATGCCTTGAGTAAGTTACTTGAACTCTTTGGTCTTAAATGGCAAGTAAGGAGAAAAAGTAAACAACAAACAGAGAAACTCACTAAAACCTAGGTCTCCAGACTGGGACAAGTTGTTCCAACTTTAGAAAAAACTTGGATGGGGTTTTTATACCATTTCCTCTTCCTCAAACAAGAGGGGGAGGGATCCAGAGCCTGATAATGTTGAGACCTTTGGGGACAGCTGGTGACAGGGAAGCAACAATATCCCATGATTTCAATATTTTATTTTTGTCTCCTGACCATCTTTTCTGGGGTGTCAAGAGTTAATACTAGCAAAGCAGAGACTTTGCCTCTTTACCCCCTTGAGATTCTGGATATTTTGTTAAACCTTTAACCTTATCCTCTTGGCAGAAAAGGGGACTGGCTATGAACTCTGCAATGAGGCCGCTCCCTGATACTCCTCTGGGTCTGACATTATGTAAAAATGTAAATGCTCCTCCAGTTCATCCAAATAGGCTTTTGCAGCAAAGCCTGGCTTCGCGCCAGCACCTCTTCAAAAAGAGAATAACCTTCCACTCTGGCCTGGCCAGGCCTTAGACAGCCGAGTCCCAGGCCTGATGTGGCGCTGCAAACCGGGTCTGAGTATGATTGATCTCTATTCCTCTCCTTGCCTTTTGAAATATTTATCAAGCTATGACAAACCAGTGAGGCTCCTGATAAAAATGACCTTTCTCAGGCAGCCAGAACAAAGCCTCGGGCTGTGAAAAAGCAGTGAAATCTGTGGTCCACTCCAGAGTGGTGAGAGCTTAGAAGTTAGTTTGCCTTTGGTGGTCTCGCAGCCTGTGATACTTCCCTTGGAAAAGAGTGATGAAACTGGTTAAAACTATTCCTTCTCCACTCGCCCCGCAGCCTTCAGTGCTGAAGCTCTAGAAAGGGCCCCAGATGTAGTAGCTGTCCCGTCGCACAGACATCAAATAGCACTCGATAAAGACTGATACACCGGAGCCTCACTTGAGATAGTCTTCCTGCCTCTCGTCTCTCCAGGTGTTCTGTCTTTCCAGCTCCCCTCTTCTTCTCTGCCAGCAGTAGATGCATAATCATGTCTGTAGTACTTTTCCTTCACTTCAGATACTGCCAAAGCCTTCAAGCCATTGGCTACGCTCCCCTTTTCTTAGCCCTGCTCCTCCACACCCAAACCTCCCTTAGGTTCTGCTCGCCAAACACCATTTGGAAGAGGTCACTGACATCAAGAGTGGGCTATTTCACGGATAAAGGGCTAATAGGGAAGTAACCACTAGAGGGTGACATAATTACACACAAGCACATTCCTTTGGGACTCTGCAGGCTAGAGCCAGCTGTGCATCCAGCTGTGGGCCCGCAGGTGTAAAATGGCTATCAGCAGATCTACCCTCAGTGTGCACACCCACACAGGTGTTCTGAGCTCATGAGGCGCACACGCATGTGTCACATACACACACACACACACACACACACACACACACACACTCTGACCTACTTTGGTTGGCAAATCAATCAAGGCCTTCAAGTGTTTCCTAGGAAAGCCACACCTCATGGAGCCAATAATGCCTTCACGTCCACTGCTGCTTTCCTGGACAGCCCTTGATGTGTCCTCACAGGGCCACTAGCAAGGTGGAACACTAAACCTCCACTGTCAAGGCAGCAAAGCACAGTGGCTTAGAAAGGCTATACATGCACTGGGTACAGTCAGAAGCGCTCAAGTACACTGCTGTCTCACCCTCCTCCAGGAGCAGCTGGGGATCGAACCGGCGCCGCAGACAGCTTGCGCTCAACCGCTAGAATGTGGTTCTAGGGTTAGACTCAGTTCTGCTAGCTGCTTGGTCTTGGGCAAGTTATCTCTCTGGGCCATCATTTCCTCATCTTTAAAATGGAGATAATAATGGAACCTGCGTCCTAGGTTGTGAAGATTAGTTATTATGATGAATAGCTAAGTTTGCATATGCCAAGACCTTAAAAGAATGCCTAATACACAATAAATGCTCAATAAGAATTATCTTTGTCCTGCTCAGGAACTGCCCAGGAGGTTACATGCAAAATTCCATTCAACCCTCACTCCCAAAATATGAAAATCACGGGTCCTATTTTACAGACAAGAAAACTGAGGCTCCAAGTGGTCAACTAACCTGTGCAAAGTTACACAGCTTGTTAGTGATCAAGCCAAGGTTTTAACCCAGAATCTGCCTGATACTATCACACCAGAAGAGCTTATGACCTAAAAGACAAAAGGTGTGGCAAAAAAAAAAAAAAAAAAAAAAAAAACCCTCATCATTTTTACTGATACTGTTTTAATTTTACTAAAAAGGGAAAAACTTGGGGCCTCCCTGGTGGCACAAGGGGTTAAGACGCAACCTACGAAGCTGACCACAGCCACTGCAGCACAAGTTCGATTCCCGGCCAGGAAGGTGACCCACATGGCACAGCAGACCTCTCCTGACTCGCCCGCTGCTCCCCTCGGCAGTGTGTTTCAGTAGATCCGCCTGTTCTGCTCCCCACTCTGTCTCTGGTGAATCTTCTCACTCCCCCACACTTCTGGCCTGTACCCCAGTTCTTCTATGTATAAATAAATAAATCTTTAAATAAATAAATCTTTAAAAAAAATAAAAAAGGGAAAAACTTTAACAAGTATAATTTAGCAAAAGTTTTAAAGAGGACAAAGAACCCTGGGTGGCAGGAGGTGGTTCTAGCAGGAGCTCAGCAGGGCGGGGGTTGGTCCTGGGTCACCTGGGTCAGCTAAGGCATTGCCTGTTAGGGACATGCCAGTCCTCAGGCCCCACCCCCGGAGGCTCAGAGGCCTTTGGTCCTTCCAAAGCAGGCTCAAGCTTGAGAACCTCTGCTCTGAGAGAGAGAAAGTGTGAGAGCTGGGAGTGAAAAACAGGTCAAAGGCAACAAGGGGTTTGTGTGTTGATGGAAGAGGAGTTGGGGACTATTTCTTGCTCACTGAAAGGAATTTGTGACCATTCCTGCCTTTGAGAGAATGAGGTGCAAAGAGATAGATGGCTTGTTCTAACTGAAAGGTTATTTTATTACGCTCTTGCACTTTTGCTATGTTTTGCTCCTTTAACCTGCCTGTTTCTTAAAAACAGGAAATAACCTTTAAAAAAAATGTTTCACTGTCAGCAAATGTATATCTGTACAGTTGGGTGGCACATCTCGGGGTTTTTTCCACTGTGCATCTATAAAAGAAAAAAAAAATCAAATCATCCCTACTATGTGCAATTTCTACACTAGGCCATTCCTTTCTCATGGATTTTTTTTTTCTCAAGGAATTCTCACAACAGTTCTGTGAAGAGGAATTGCTTTCATTTGCCAGAAGAGGAAATGGAGCTTCAAAGAATTTCAGTCACTTTGCCGGAGGCTATGCAACTGTAATGGGAGAGCTAGGATTCCAGCCACAACTTCAGAGTCCAGGTCTGGTGGAAATTTAGCTCTACTGGGCCTAGGGAACAGAGGGGTGCTAAGGAGACCTCCAGGCAGCCTCCCAAGGGAAAGTCACACATGGAAACCACCCTCCCTGGGCACCAGGCTAAGCCTTCTCCACTTCAGGCTGGATGTGACCCACCAAGTTCTACTGTCAGTGGTGGGGAGGGGTAAGGGATCAAATGAGGAGAAAGACAGTCAATCCAAAAATCTGTTTTCAAGACAATCTTGGCTGTAAAGTCCAAAAAATGAACTAAAAATTTCTGGCTTCAGATATTGAATTCCAGTTCAGTAAGAGTTAAAAGTTTCCTAATTCTCAAAAAAAAAAAAAAAAAGTTTAAAGGCTAAGCATTCTTAAAGCTTTTAATTTTTAAAATTAACCTGATGCCTTAATATAGAAGAAGCCTCACCACAAGGGCAATGTCTGCTTGCTATTATAGTGCTCTTATTTTTTGGTAAACAAATGAGAAAAAGCTTCAGCCTGTTCTCTACACAAGTTTCTACCCCTGCAATGATCTCACCCACACCTATTCAAATTCTAGGCTTCACTGTGGTGAGCCCCCAAACTGAAACACTTTATTTCTCTCACTCTCTTGGTATTTGGAGCACTCACAAATACAGTGACCTTCAGTAGGTGTTGTGGGGCTCACAACTGGGTCCTAAACCCCTTGGGGGCAGAAACACCATCTTGCTGTTTTCACATTTCCTGAAGTTCCTTGAAAAACCCACCTTTCTAAGAGTTTGGTCTAAGTGTAGCCTGGACAGGCTACATTTACAACATAGCTTTTTTCTTTTAGAGTTGTCAAGTCTACCTGTTTTGTAACGAATGCTTAAAGCGTTAGTTACTATTAACAAATAATAGCTGATATTTAGGATTATTCTATCAAAGTATTTCTAATCTTTTGGTCTGATGCCTGAAAACACAAGCATATTTGAATCTCCTCCTATCAATTTAATATCTGATATATCCTCTATCCAAGGACAATATATTAAATGGATTTTTGGAGCAGGAAGATGAAAGAGGAACTTGCTCCACCCACTCCATGCATGGACCTGGTATTGTAGTACCTCCAGGCACATGCACCCGCCCCTCGGGGATTTAAAAAAATTGGCAACCCAATTTCAAGCTTAGAAAGAGGGAGTGGCCGTTCATGGGGGGAGGTGATTATTAATAGCACCTCCTTTTGCCCTCATGGGTTTTTCCAGTTTGGATAATAAAGTATACAGCCAACCCAATTAGACAGCTCCAGCTACACAGATCTCAAGTCCCTGTTTTTACTGTGGTGGATAATACCCATGTTTACAGGGTCTAGCAAACTAATAATTTGGGAGAGAGTAAACAAGTATTGCCAGGGGTTCCAGGGCAAGTTGTTGATGTGAGAACAGTTATCACCTATCTTTCCCTTTCATTTACATTCTTTTTTTTTTTTTTCCTTTTAAAGATTTATTTATTTATTTACACAAGCACTGGGTACAGTCAGAAGCACGGGAGGGTGAGAGAATTCACCAGAGCCAGAGCTGGGAGCAAAGCAGGCAGACTGATGAAGTACACTGCTGAGGGGAGCAGCGGGCGCAGCAGGAGAGGTCTGCACGCCATGTGGGACCCTCGCCCGCGGCCGGGGATCGAACTGGTGCTGCAGAGGCCGCAGGCAGCCTCACAGCCCAGCGCTCAACCGCTGCACCACCGGGGAGGCCCTATTTACATTTTTATTTCAAAATTCTGTTCATTCTGTTTTAAATCTTTTACTTTTTTGTGATCAAACACACGTAACATAAAAGCTACCCTCTTAATCGTTTCCAAGGGTACAGTTCTGTAGTGTTAAGGGTACAGTTCTGTAGTGTCACGTCACTGTGCCATAGATATCAGGAACTTTTTCATCTTGCAAAACTGAAACTCGACTCTCCACTTCCCAATGCCCAGTCCCTGGCAAGGCCCAGCCCCCTGCTTTCCGTTTCTGTGCGGTCCACTACTCCAGATACCTCATATAGGTGAAATTTACCCCTTGTCTTTTGGTGACTGACTTGTCCCACTGAGCACAATGTCCTCAAGTTTCTCCCCTGTTGTACCATCTGTCAGTATTTCCTGCCATTTTAAGGCTGAACAGTGGTCCATTTTTGTGTTCACACCAGAGTTCGTTTATCCATTCATTGGTCAACAGATACATGGGCTGTATCCATCTTTTGGTGATTGTGAAAATGCCATGAAGGTGGGTATACACATATCTCTTCGAGATGCTGCTTTTATTTCTTTTGGATCTGTATCCAGAAGTGGAATTGCTGCATCAATCAGATGGGAATTCTGTTTTAATTTTTTACGGCACTGCCATACTGTTTTCTGTAGCAGAAATTTTACTCTCCCACTAACTGTGCAAGGTTTCTGATTTCTCAACATCCTCACCAATACTTATTTTCTGTTTTATTAATAGCAGCCACCCTAAAGAGTGTGAGGTAATCGTTGACTGTGGTTTTGATTTGCATTTCCCTAGCAATTACTAATGATGAGCATTTTTCATATGTTTATTGCGTTGGTACATCTTCTTTGGAGAAATAACTATTCAAGTCCTTTGCGCATTAAAAAAAATCAGATTATTTGTTTTTTTGTTGCTGCTGCTTTAATCCAGTTGTAATTGTAACAGGGTGGTCCCCAGGAAATGGGGAGGTTCCAGGTTCCCTGCCCCACCCAAATGCAGGGTGGAGCTGAGCAGGGAGAGAAGAAGCTGGAGAGGAGACTGAGGAAGGAAGGAAGCAGGATGGAGCCAGAAGGAGACCTGGAGGAGGTGCATGGAGCCGAGAGACATGTGAAGAAACTGCGCTTGTCTTTTGGTCGTGAACTGGGTGACACAGATGTGGGTGAGACCCGTGGGGAGGTGACAATGGCGGTTTTTGTCTTGATTTTGATTTTGCTCCTTTCCTTCCAGACTTGTCTGGTTATTTCTGATCCTTTTCTGTGGGTCCCCCCTGGAAGATGCTTTAGACTTGTGGCAGGCTTTGGGGCCTTGCTCTGGGCCAATCCCATTTGGATGGACTTTTACCCACGAAGGGACGGGTAACTTTGGGTGCTTGATTTAGATAATATATTCTTTGCCTTTTCTGTATTGTTTCCTAATTGTATTAAAGTTCCTTCCCATTAAAGTCTCATATGTTTTATGTTGATGCGGAGGATGGCAGAACCCATTTAGAATAGGCAGGTTTGCAGGGTCTGGGCTGCCCCTCTCCCCGCCCTGTAACATAATCAGTGAATCAAGTCCTTCCAACAGAAGATAAGCTTTCTGTTATCTGTAAAATTTTCTAACCAAGATATGCCCCAAGATAGTCTCCTGCTTAAAAACAAAAAACAAAACAAAACAAAAAAACCAGGAATAGAGAGTTGGAAAGTTAGTTGCACTCAAGGATCTTGAAGTTGGGAAGTTAGTTGGCCAGACACCGTTTTATAAACCTCAGCTATCCATTGCTATTGGCTGTCGAGAATTCTTGGAGAAGTTTTGTTATGCAGAAAGTGGTCCATAAAGATATTATCTGATACCATTGCTCTCATTCCAGATCAACATTTATAGAGTGCCTACTATATGGAAAGGATCGTGCCATGGATATGTTAGAGTTTCTCTAAAAAAGGCACACAAATATTTTAACTCCTTTGACCCAAGACCCACAAGCCAGAATCACATATAGATACATAATATCTATATGTATTCTTGAATGAGGAGTTTAACATGTTAACAGTTCTCTTTTGGTCTTTGCTGCCAGATCTTGCCTCCTGAATGAGGAAGCACACATCTTTAAGTAAGCCTGATCTTTGGGTTGGGCCTTTCAATTTTCCCAGGCCCCACCCAGGTGAAAAACACACCCTACTGAAGATCTAGGTTTATTTTTTTTAATTCTTGGTAAAATTTTGGAGGGTATCCCTACACAGGCCATTGTTTCTGTTTCTAAGCAGGAGTTCGTAACTCATTCAGAAAAACTTCATTCTGGTTGCAACTTGTTGAGTTATATACATAAATCTCAGTCCACCCTGAAAATATAAACCATCCACAGGGTTTTCTACATTGGCATACATGCTTTCCAGATGGAGTCTGGTTCACAGTACCCTTCAGAAGGGGGGAAGAGTAAGGACCAAGGGGACACAAAAGGATGGTGGTGGTGGGAGGACAGGAGGGATCTCTTAAGAAAGGAAAAAAAATGGCTCTTTGTCCTTGTTAAAATAATCTCAAGCCAAAAAAAGCTCAAGAAAAATCTGTTTTTCCTCATTAAAAAAAAAAAAAAATACCCTGCGGATATTTTTGTGTTGCAAATCTGAGCCTAAACCAAAATTCCCAAGAAGTGACTCCATGTGAAAATAATCTCAATCTCAGCCCTGCGCTGGGAACAATGCATTATACCAGGGTTGAAGGGACAGCACGATTAATCTAGGCTCATGGTCTCACAGAGGGTACTATTGCAAAAGTCCCTGAAGATTTCCTGTCAAATCATCCATGTGTCATACAAGGAATGAGACCCCAAAAGTGATTCATTTCTTCTGTGCCATAAAGTCACCAGATCTCAGACCAGCATAGGCTCATTGAATACGCCACTTCTTTTTTCTCATGAATATTCATTTTGTGAGATGCTTCTATATTTTTATTTTCCTATTTGTTAAGCATGAAAATAATTACGTTGCCGAAAAGCCTTGAACTAAATCTTTGAATGCCTTCAAAACAAGGCATAGTATTAATAAGGTTCTAGAGTTCAAATCCAGAAAATGTTTTGCTAGAACGAGGACCAGGTGGCCAACTTCTAGGGAAAGTGCTTCCAAGCACTCCTGCATGACTTCAGACTTGAGACACAACCTCTCTAGGAGGGGAAAACCACGAAGCTCCTTCTGTTAGTCAAGTTCCTGTCTACAAATCTAGTCACTCCCTCCTGCCCCCCCACCCCTTGTGTGGTCTAACACTTTGTTTTGTATTAAGTAGGATTAAGGTGGTTTGGAATGAGGCCTTAACATCCACACAAACACATCCACAACCATACAACTACAACAAACAGTGAGTGGTGGAGTTGAAGGTAAAAGTTTAGGCAAAAGTGACCGAGGTGAATATAAACTTAAACACACTCCAGGAGGAGACTATTATCCCTGGCAGGCCCCAGAATTGTGGTATTTATTGCTGTAGCACATCTGAAATCCTCTTGATGACTAACAGTACAGTAATATTTCAGGAAGGTTATAAAAATCTATGGGTTTCACACCATGTGCAGTGTGGGTGAAGGTAGCAACCTTGCATTTCCTGATTTAGGAACCTAAAATCTATTATGCCTATTAGTGAAGCTGTAGGCAGCTGGTCTAATATTGGGCTCCATAATACAGAATATGGAACCAAATCTTAATCGGGTTCTCCATGAAATCATTTCCCTTTGCTGACAGATAAATCAGGTTGCCTTATCTCTCCTTGCATGGATCCAGAAATTCATGAAGGTCATTGTCTCTAACCCAAAAATTCTTGCTTTGGTGGCAGTTAAACTGAAACTCTGAAATCCTGTGTGTGGGCATAAGAGCCACCTTCTAGAATGGAGCCGTGCCTGATTCCATAAAACAGCTTACAAACCAACAAGACATTTGCTGCAGCATCTCAAACCAAACCCAAAAGTCATTCTATTTCCTAAGAGTGAATTTGTATCGGCACAGACAGACAGACTTTCTCCTGACAGTACATCCGGGCCGTACAATTTATATGTAGTCGAGGAGGCTGATGAGAAAGAAAAAGATCATAAAACCAGGCTTGGGGCAGGCTGCTCCCTTCCACATGCAAAGCAGCTGAGGCGCTGCGCAGGGCCGGGCGGAGCTCGGGACAGTCACAAAGCCGCAGAGCGCGGAAGCCGAGGGAAGTTTTGCTGCAGAAAGTAGGAGGCAAACCTTCCCGGCGGCGTCTGGAAGCAACCAGAAGATGCTAGAAGGAATAAGAGCAGTGACTAATTCTGGAACGAGGACGGCCAGGGTCCGCGCTGAGCTGAGTGATGGCTAAATACAGAGGAGCGTCCCCATAACTGGGGCAGCGGACCGCAGAGAGAGGAAAACAGCCCCACCGGGGAGACTTGGGGTGTAGAACAGAGACTGTGAAGGGACATTAGGGACAGTGAAAAAAAAAATTAAAAAAGGGGGGAATGGGAGTGAGAGCCATGATTGTGGAGGACCACGCCGGCGAGGGGGGGCTGCGGGATAATAAAGGGCGGGGTGTCCAGGGAGGGCCGGGCACTGCAGGGGAAGCCACGGGAAGGGCGGCGCAGACGTCAGCACCCAAGAGAAGCGCGGGGCCGGGGCCGGGGCCGGGGCGCGTCCCCGCAGGGCCCGCGGGCTCGGGGCGGCCGCGCGCAGGGCCCGGCCGGGCTGACAGCCGCCCGCCCCGGCGCCCGCAGGGTTAAGCCTCCGGGGCGCCGCGATTGGCCGCGCCCGGTTTCCAGGGCGACGGCCCCGCCAGTTCCGGCAGCGCGGGCGCGTCCATTGCGCGGGCGCGCGGGGGGGCGCGGAGGGGCCGAGGCCGCGCGGAGGCGCAGTCGGGCCGCGGGGACCGTCCCGGACTCTCCCCAGCGCGCGTCCCGCCCGCTCGCCCGGGTCCGCGGCGCGCCCAGCTCCGGCCGCGGCGGCTGCGGCGGCGTCCCCCGAGCGGGGCCGGCCGCTCCCGAGCGCGCGCGGGCGGCGCGGGGCGAGGCGAGGCGAGGCGAGGCGAGGCGAGGCGCGCGGCCGGCGGCCCGGAGCGGCGCGCGGGCCCCCCCGCCTGGGCGGCGGAGTCGGGCGGCCCGGCCGGAGCCTTGAAAAGCGGGCGAGAGACAAAGGCGGCGGAAGCGTCCCCGGCGCCGGGGCCCAGCGCGCAGCCCGGGGCCTCGCCGGTCCCGCGGCCGGGCCGGGCGCGCGGAGGATGCGGCAGGGCGCGCGGGCGCGGCGGCGGCGGAGCGGCGCGGCCCGGGCGCGGCGGGGGTAGCCCCAGGCGGGCGCCGGGGGGAGCGGCGGGCGCCGTCCCCGCCCGGGATGTGAGGCGCGCGGGCCGGGCGGGGGAGGCGCGGCGGCCGAGCGGCAGGAAGGAAGGAAGGAAGACGGGCGCGCCGGGAGGAGGAGCGGCGAGGCGGCCGGAGCCGGAAGGCGGGGAGGGGCCGGCCGTTGGGCCCGAGGCGGCGGCCGCGGCCGGGGCGAAGCGCGCGCGGCGCCTCCCGGGGCCCGAGCGGCGGGGCCCGCGCCCCTCCCCCCGGCGCCGCGGCGGGGGGCGCAGGAAGATGGAGACGCACATCTCGTGCCTGTTCCCCGAGCTGCTGGCCATGATCTTCGGCTACCTGGACGTGCGGGACAAGGGGCGCGCGGCGCAGGTGTGCGCGGCCTGGCGGGACGCCGCCTACCACAAGTCGGTGTGGCGGGGGGTGGAGGCCAAGCTGCACCTGCGCCGGGCCAACCCGTCGCTGTTCCCCAGCCTGCAGGCCCGGGGCATCCGCCGGGTGCAGATCCTGAGCCTCCGCCGCAGCCTCAGCTACGTGATCCAGGGCATGGCCAACATCGAGAGCCTCAACCTGAGCGGCTGCTACAACCTCACCGACAACGGGCTGGGCCACGCGTTCGTGCAGGAGATCGGCTCCCTGCGCGCCCTCAACCTGAGCCTCTGCAAGCAGATCACCGACAGCAGCCTGGGCCGCATCGCGCAGTACCTCAAGGGCCTGGAGGTGCTGGAGCTGGGGGGCTGCAGCAACATCACCAACACCGGCCTCCTGCTCATCGCCTGGGGCCTGCAGCGCCTCAAGAGCCTTAACCTCCGCAGCTGCCGCCACCTCTCGGACGTGGGCATCGGGCACCTGGCCGGCATGACGCGCAGCGCGGCCGAGGGCTGCCTGGGCCTGGAGCAGCTCACGCTGCAGGACTGCCAGAAGCTCACGGACCTGTCTCTGAAGCACATCTCCCGGGGGCTGACGGGCCTGAGGCTCCTCAACCTCAGCTTCTGCGGGGGCATCTCGGACGCGGGCCTCCTGCACCTGTCGCACATGGGCAGCCTGCGCAGCCTTAACCTGCGCTCCTGCGACAACATCAGCGACACGGGCATCATGCACCTGGCCATGGGCAGTCTGCGCCTCTCGGGGCTGGACGTGTCCTTCTGTGACAAAGTGGGGGACCAGAGCCTGGCTTACATAGCCCAGGGGCTGGACGGCCTGAAGTCCCTTTCCCTCTGCTCCTGCCACATCAGCGACGATGGCATCAACCGCATGGTGCGGCAGATGCACGGGCTGCGTACGCTCAACATCGGACAGTGTGTGCGCATCACCGACAAGGGCCTGGAGCTGATCGCTGAGCACCTGAGCCAGCTCACGGGCATAGACCTGTACGGCTGCACCCGCATCACCAAGCGTGGCCTGGAGCGCATCACGCAGTTGCCCTGCCTCAAGGTACTCAACCTGGGACTCTGGCAGATGACGGACAGTGAGAAGGTCAGGTGAGGGCGGCGGTGCCAGCTCCCCTTGTCCTGCCCTGTGCATCCTCCCTTCACCACCACAGCCCCCCGCCCCCCACACTCACGCCATACGCACACTTAGGCGTAGATCGCTGCAGTGGATGAGATGGGGCGACCCAAGAGGCCTCAGGCTCATTTTCTCCTCTTTATTCCAGCACCCTTGCCCACCACATGCCATTCTCATTGTACCGGGGTCCCTCTGCTACCCCTGCCGGACACTCCCCTCTCTTTTTCTCCCTGGGGATGGAGAGATGGACTCAGCCACTCACCCACCCACTCTGCAGGGGCGTGGAGGGCTGGTGAAGCTACTGTATCCCCACTGCGTGGCATGTGCGAGCGGCGGTGGCGTGGGGAGTCCCTAGTCCTTTCCACCTTGGGTAGTTGAGGAAAATGTCTGCCTTCACTTAAACGCTTTCATTTGAATACTGTGATCTGGTTTTTTATTTTGAAGTGGATAAAAAGCAAACCCAACTACAAAGGCCTTTTCACCTTCCTTCCACTTTGTAACTAACCCCAGTCTCTTCTCCTCACTTGTCCTTTTACAGAAAACTCTGCTATTGATGCTCATGTCATTTTTATTGTCTTTCTCCTCCTCTTTAAAAATTTTTTGAAGAAAATTGAAATCATGGTCCTTTTTTTTCTGCTGAATATATTCTATATATTATATATATATATATAAATTATATATATATAAATGTCTGGCTACCTCGTTTTAGTTTACTTTTTTTCTCTGAAGCCCTGGAATTCTACAAGAGAGATATTTTGAGACTGAAACATTTTTGTGCCTAGACTGGAAAGATGCCCACTGGGTTTGTCCATCTTCTTTGTTTTGGCTTCTTCCCAAACCCCATCCATCCAGTGTGTCCCCTTCCACATTCTGGCTATAATTTTCTTTTTCTCCTTGTCCATGGGGATTTGGGGACCCAGGGGTGTCCCTAAACGTTGACTTAATTTATAGCACAAATGTGTGGGAGAAATGAGAGTTGAACTGTTTTTTGTTTGTTTGTTTGAGATGCAGGTTGTGTCTTGAAAATTATTATATATGCAAATTCTGCCCTACCCCTCACCCTCTTCCAAGTTTCCCCGCAAAAAGGTCACACCGCGAGGCTTCCTGTGGGGAGCAGAGGGGCAGAGTTGGCCTGCAGAGCCCCTGGGGCTGTAATGTGAAGGGGAGGAGACTGAAATTCATGTCTTATCTCTGTTCTGTTAATAAAATGGGAGTTTGTGGGTTTTAAAAAATTTCTGTTTCTAAATGGAGGAATAGATGACTTTATTTTGGTCGGGGTTGGGACTTGTGGCTTTAAAAAGAATCGCTTTTGAGTAGGATGTATATTTCTGTTGGATTTTTGTTTATTTTTTTAGAATCCTCCACAGCAACATGTGAGACCATGGAGTTAAAGAAACCCAGAGACCTTTATCAATTAATTGTACTGTTTGTGAATTTGTATAAATAATAACAAAGATCCTCTTAAAACGTTTATATTCTTACAGTAAAAGGTTAAACTGATATTTATATAATAAAAGAGGAAATATGAAGTATGTTTTTGAAAAAAAAAAAAAAAACAAAACAAAACAAAAAACCTTGTATCTGTGAATTATTTTTAAGGCACTGTGTTTGGGTCCATGCCAGAGTAGGAGGTGCTGTTTGTGTGCTCTGAAAGGAAGTAAGGTATAGAGTTCGGTGCATCCTATGTGGCGTGAGTAAGCTCCTGGTTGAACATTTATTCTGTATAAGGTTTACTACTGACATCTTAATGTTTGTTTCTAGAAATGTGACTAGCCCGGAGATTTCTATCATTTTTGGTTTGAAACTGTCAACAACATGGAAATAGAAAGAAATGGAACAAAATGAAACTTTTTTTAAAAACCAGATTTGTAAAGAGTCACAATTTCCCCAGGGTGGCCAGTTTTTCTTTGGGTGGAAATGAGATCCAGGGGTACCACTGAACGAGCGGGTCATGAGATGTGGAAGTGGGGAGACACACGGGTTTCTCTGCTCTGAGTGGGTGTCGGGTGGATGTGAAATGAAGGGCAGAGGAACCGGAGCCATTGTTAGGAAAGTTAAAAGAGCGCTGTCCTTGCTCACTGCTCCCTTGCTCAGTCATGCATACTGAATCTCACAGTGTGAGTGGGGGTCCTAGTGGAAGGGAGGAGGCAGTTCAACCCCTCTTTTTAACATTCTCCTCCAGGCCTGGCTGTATTTAAGGACTTTCCTGGGGGTGGGGAGGTTGGCCAGGAGTTGGAGCACATTTGCATTTTAAGCACTTCCAATGCTGAAGCTGGCCACTCGATCCACTCTGTTGAAGGTTCTTAGAGTGAATTCCGGGCAGATAAATGAATACCAACAATTCTAGCCAAAAGTCCCCTTTGGTAGACAACAGCTAATCTGACACCCTGTGGTTGGGCTATGGAAACGGAGGAGTAGACTTGCTCCAACAGTGGAGTAATTCATATTCCTGGTTTCACACAGACCTTTCTTAGTAATTGCTGAGTTTCGTCTTTTATTTTAACAGAAAAATACTTGATCCTAGCAAGAGCTGAGAGAGAGTAGTTACTTTATTGGATCAATACTTTTTTTCTAGGAAGAGCGCTAGAATCCAAGTTTCTCCTGGGTAAGATTGTTTTGTAAAATTTCTAGGCTTTATAAAGCTTGAGCATATCACAAAAGCTGCATTGTTCCTTTTTGGAGAGCAATCACAATTGGGTCTAATTGAGCCTGACACTAGATCCATCTTCCTTTTCTTTGGGGAAGGTGTGGCTCTCTTTCTTCCCTCTTAGGTTACAGTGCTTATTGCCTGAAGACAAAAAGAAAAGTGTGAACCCTAGTAAGAAATAGGGACTTTGAATTACGGGCCCTTTCTGAGCAAGCATTTGACACTACCACATATAGAGCTTACCCAGGCTATAGGTTCTTGGAGTGTTTCTCCATGAGACTGCATGGCTGTGCAGATTCAGCCAATGAAAATTCGAGGACCGCCTCAGTCAGGCTCTGTGCTCACATCATTCATTTTAATACCCAAAGTAATACTGCCAATGGGAACCAGAAAGAGTTTCTGTTGTGTGTTTTTTTTTTTAACTTTACAGATCAAATATAAGTGTGACTAAAGGTTGGTAAATTAGTATGTAAACATTCAAATCATGGGCCTGCTGTCCCTGTTCCTGAACTAGGCATCATTCCTGTCGCTGGAGCAGTATTTGGAAAAGGTGAATAAACCACATTCATCAGTCAAGGTGAACTGCTTATCTTTCAACCTTTTGGGATGGAAAGAAATGAATCCGTGTTAACCTGTGGTGTGCTTTGCCTGGTGCTTCTAAATTTATCTCTTCATCCTCAGAGCAACCTACTGAAACCGGTATCCTGTTTTCCAGATAAGACATACTATTTGCCTTAAGCCACCCAACCTCTAATTGAGGGGAGCCAGGATTCACACCGGGTCCAGGTGTAGAAATCCAGCTTCTGAAGCTCTAGAAGGTTCCGTTACTGATCACACCTTTGTTTCCAATAAGGTGACCTCACAGTTTGAACACATTATGAAGCGTGTGAACACACCATGAACAAGCTCTTGCCAAGACGCACTACTTTAAAGAGAACATGGGTGGATTCCATTTCCACCATAGCTACAGTAGGAATGGGAAGAAATGCTTTTCAAGACTAGACAGCACTAAAGAAAATGAGCTGATACATATTTTGGGGTGGTACAAATCTTCAGAGCAATTTTTAGAATAACAGAAAAAAAAAAAAAACACTGGTTCATTTTTCATATATGTGTTGAAACTTCAGAGTCAAAAAAACAAATAGGAACTTGCAAACTTTATCATCAAGATGTAATAAACCTCGATAGGAACAATCTGGATAGCAGTCCAATTGAAATAGAACAATTTGAAAAGGACTCCACCTGCATACCTGGCTTTAGAAGTCTCATGGGTAGTAGCCCTTTAACCTCTGTCCAGAAAAGATGATCACTGCAGTGGTGGGGTTGCGTCTCTGCAGCCTGGGAGGACCATGATAGGCCTCAACTAGAGTGCTGAGAGTTGTTGCATAATTCTCCCTGCTATGGACTCCTTCCTGCTGAATTCTTCTGTCCGAAGGCGGAGGGGGCTGGGGGAGGGAGGGCCTGCTTGATTTATTCCACATTTGGCAACAGCCACAAGGATGCTGGCCTAACTTACAGTACATCCTTAAATAGTTAAGCAAACTCGAACTGATCATAGTCTCTCATGATTCACATCAACAAATCCAAAAAAGCAAATGTTCCTTTATATTGGAGTTTCTTTTTAAAGGTAAGACCCTCTTAAATAAGGACATAGGATATGTAAATTAAGTTATGTCTGCCCTGGTGCTTCCCTGCAGAGGTTACTAGATAGATGGTGGTCTTGGAATATAACTAAACCTGCACTTTTGACTTAGAGAATTTGAAAAGGAGGGTGACCCCAGGGACCACTGTGTTTCCAAAGAATAAGAACCTCTTGATTAAAAGATCAGATTTGTAAAACAAAACCAAGACTTCATCAGTTTCTGACAGCCAGCCCTCTCTTCCCAGCCCCATGGAAAGGAGAGCCCGGGGCCTCTGCTCTCAGCTGCTCTGCTATAGAAAGGGGCCTTTAGTCAGTCATCGAAAGATTGCCCTATCTGTTATCTATCTCTTCCCTGCATCAAACAGCACTCCCTCTTAAAAGTTAATTCTGTCCCTTTCGAAGAGGCCAAGACCTAAATTTCGTGTCATGTAAACCCCTGAGGAGTCAGAGGGATTAGGCTTTTTGATGCAATAATGTGGATCATGGGTGAAGGGGAGGATTAGAAATTGGAAAGCTGCATTCAAACCTAAGCTTAAGCTCATGCTTGGGCCACATGTTTATCTCATTGTTGACAACATACTTGTTCAAATATTAGGTAGCAAGTTACATTTTTTGAAATGGGAATGTTGCCAAGCAGATGAGGGCATTCATACTTGGATCAGTGCCAACTATTAATAATTGAGAATTTATTGAAGATAAATCTTCCACTGGACTTAAAACATATACTCAGCTCTTGTGTAGAAAAATGGGTATTTCTAGACAAGTGGTAAATGTGAATGTTGAAGAATGATCAGTTTCAGTCTTTTCCTCTTTTGCAGGGATTGCTCTGCTTTTGCCGGTGGAGTGGCCTGTACCAATCCAGAACATTTGGTACTATGTACAGCCAAGTCTTCCCATTCAGGTGCAAGAGAATGTAAGCTTGAATTTTAACTATGAAGTACTAGCATTGGGTGTATTAAGCACCCCCACCCCAAAAATAAAAATAGAAGTGGAATTCCTCTGCCTGCTATTTGTTAACCCAGAAAAGTGCACGTTTGCTGTTAAAAATAAGACAAATTCTTACTATCTTACTCTTCTACTTTGCTTTTCTTTGTGATAATGGAAAGCAATGAGTCTTAATTATACAGAAGAATGAGGTCTTCTGGCAAAATAGTGTTAGGCACGTGAATGTATCTGCTGGAGGAATTTAGTCATAACACAGTATTCGATTTCTCTTGTCTCAAAATTTTTGTTTTCCCAAATCTGGCACATATTGTACATTTAATTCTGTAAGTGGGAAAAGAGGAATCTGTATCAGAACTGACTAATAACCATATAAATGGTGAGCAATACACAGGTAGCTGTTTGATCTCTTTCCCAAAACACTGCAAGGGACCCCCCACCCACTGCTCCATAAAGGTACCGACTGAGAGCACATATTTTCCTGGGGAGTAAAGCAAAAAACCCCAAATACTAAAAGTCATTGTTACTGTTTAATAAGCCTTCAATTACGCAAACTTAGAAATGTTTTGCAAGAAGCTGAAAAACTAGGGCAAGTTGGTAAGTGGGCTTTAGGGCACCAGGAGCCAGGAGTGTCAGATCTGTCACCTGTTCTCAGAGAACTTGAGCCACTTCCAAAAACACTGCTTTGTTACAAATCGTAAATGTGAAGGACAACCACTGGAAGGCCATGCTCCTGATAGCCTCAAAGCTGAGAATTTACACACGTTTAACGCTACAATGTGTGTCACACGATCCTTTTGATGAAGTAGAGTCACACTACCAAGAAACACTAGCTATTTTCATTCGAGGATAAAAAGGCTCAACTTCACAGATGTTTTAGTTACAAATCCCTCTTGTTCAGAAAGAGTAAAAGGGTCTAATTTGTTCATATCAGGCACCCTCTTAATGTTTATCACTCCTCAATTTACGTAATCCACACTCCAGAAGGATCAGGCCTAGCACACAGCTGTCTGTCAATAATTACTTCTCATATCGTGGATATAAGTTACGGCAATTGGACGGTGGGCAACAGTTCTTTGTGACTGGGTTAATTTTTTATGAGTAGTGTGGAATTGGAAAGTATTGTTTTCCTCGTCCAAAATGAACAGGAAAATATTGACTACAAATGTGCATAGTATTTCTCCTTAGGAACTCTTTACCCCAAACTGGTACATGTTCATGAACACATTTATGAAGGAATAAATACCTGCTTCCGTTTTGCTTGCTGAGTGCTCCTAAATAAGGAATAACCAAAAAACTTAGTCCTGATAGTCCTTAGATTCTTTAGTAAACTCACTGAGGTGAAAACTGGACAGATGGGTAAAAAGGAAGGGAGAAATGGCAATAGCTAAGTCCCTCAAATTTTTAAAGTTCTTAGATGGGAGAAAAGCTAATTAGTGCCTTCCAGTCTGACTTTGATGTTTTAAATCTTAGCTTCATAACTTAAAAGCCCAATGCTGTGAACTACAAAAGAAAAAAAAGACCAGTAGGTACCTATTAAGCGAACAATATTAGAGTGCAATTTCTAGCCCTTCTGGTTCATTTCAGAGGCATAACATTTAGATTCTTTAAGGAATTTGGAGAAACCGTGTGGCCAGGATCTATGGTCTGAAAGGGATCTAGCTTGCAGTTTGCTGCTATGGGGAGCAGAGAATGTCTTCAGGTTTTCAGAGCCTGGAGTTGATAGATGACTGGCTCTTCCAAACCTGGCTGACGTCTGTGCACTTGAGCCAGATGCCCTCCCATTGTGCGCAGAGTCAAGTGGCGACAATCAGAACAGCGTGACCCAGAGGAAGCAGCTGGCCCATCTTTCTCCCACACGTAACGGTCTGATTTTCAATGGAACTGCAGAAACTCACTGCAGTAAGTACGACACAGGATTTAGCAGCTAATAGCCTCATCACTATTTACTTTCAGAAATAAAAAATGTACAAGTTAGAAGATAGGAGTCAAACGCTCTGTTTTCTTCAAAGGTGTGTGTGTATGCTGCGGGGGAATCATTTCTGTCTCCTCTAGATTGTTCCTTGACTTCTTCCCAGAAGACAAGAACAAAACAAAACAAGAGCTCTCCCCACCACTCACACACTAGCAATGCTCCCTGTTGGGATGCGGCTAGCATGGTGTCCACACCAGTACCAGAGGTAGTTTACCTCAAGTTTAAGATGATTTTAGGATCCACTATAAGGCAGAAAAAATAAGTACCTAAGTGCAAAACTACTTGTCTGGATGGCCAGTGTAAAGACGCAATTTGCTGGCAGTCTGCAAGCCCTTTATTTTGTCAGCAGGCGGCAGCATTGTCTGTGAGTTGGAGGCTGTTTCCAGCAGGGAACCACCGTGTCCTCCCCCTCTGACAAATGGCCTCTGGTCACCTTCCCTCCCTCTCTTGCCCCTTTAAAGAAGAATTTCTCTTCTCCTCACCTCAAGGATTCCCCCAGGGTATAAGAGTTGCCAAGAGAGGATTCTCACCTTCCCAAAAGGATTAAATTGAATTTTAAGCTATCAGTGAAGCAAGAACCCCAGGGTTGAGCACTTTGGGGAGCAAGATAACTCCACCTAAGGCTCCCGGCATTAGCCAGCAGCACTCTGCTTCAGGGAAAATTTTACAGTCATACATAGAGATAATCCTTTTAACAGCAGCAGTCAAAATGCTAGCTTTTTTTTTTTTTTTTTTTTTGATTTCACAAAAAAAGGAAAGATGTCTGTGATGAAACATTCTAGAAGAACTTTTGAAGAAAAACAAAAACATGAAAATTTTTTTTAGAAGTATCTAATTTTTTCATTTTAAAAATGAGTTTCTTTACTGTCCAGCTGAAGACATCTTTATAAAATAAAAAGGAGCACCTATTGTTATTAAAAGATTATCATTTTGGCACAGATTAAGACACCTTCATAAAAATTCAAGGAGTAAATGGAACTGAAAAAAACGAGTCCTGATAAAGAAGTAAGGTTGCTTGAATACTGAAGTCCTTCTTCTGATCTGACAGGTCTGATTCCATTGAATGTCACCCTCAGGGATAGGGTGAGGGCAGGAGAGTCGCCTCAGAGGACCAAAGCATGGAGATGAAGGGCAGCTGGTGAAAATTTGGAATAAAAGTTTGCAAGGGAGAAATCAGATGTTCCCGTGGCTGCTTCTACCACGTTGTGTTAGCTGGATGAGGAGGCTCAGCTTGCTGGCGCTGATAGGGAGGTCATTTTCAGTTAGAGAAGGAGAGAATCATGTTTGAAGGGAGAGTCCTGGAACTCAGGACCGGAGCATGAAGCACATTACCATTCCCGGCAACCCCCCCACCCAACAAAGGTCCTTTAAAAGCAGAAAATTGGGGCCTCCCTGGTAGCACAAGGGGTTAAGACGCAACCTATGAAGCAATCCCCAGCCACTGCAGCATGAGTTTGATCCCTGGCCGGCCAGGGAGCTACCCATATGGCACAGCAGACCTCTCCTGGCTCATCCGCTGCTCCCCTCAGCAGTGTACTTCAGTCAGTCTGCCTGTTCTGCTCCCCACTCTGTCTCTGGTGGATCCAATCACCCCCACACCTCTGGCCTGTACCCCAGCTCTTGTATGCATAAATAAATAAATCTTTAAAAAAAAAAAAAAGGCAGAAAAATCTCCCCAGGCAACCTTACAGACACCAAGGCTGAAATAGGCCATTGTTATTGACCAAATAGAGACTCGGGGGTGAAAACCAAATAAAGGTGAGAGGTATGGAAGGAAGGAGAGAGCCCATGTCAGTCCACAGAAGGCTGAGCACAAAACCCAAGGCAAACTGAGGAGCCGGAGCAGTAACAGCACACTCTGAAATCAAGTCAGGGAGGTACCACCTATTTAACAACTGGTGTTGCTAAGTGGTCCTTAGGATGGCCTCAGAGAGCTGCTCTTTGATTTGCAACTGCTAAGAACAGCTTTCCTGGATCCAGCACATGTTTTGAAGACAGGCCCTCTTTCTCTGATTGTTTGCATCTGATTTGAGATGAAAATGCCAACAAATGGGCCACCACAAAGGCCTGAGGTGAAGCTGTGGATGGATGTGATGTGCTTCATGCCTAGAAATGTCCCCAGGGATACACAGCCCAGCCCTCACGACCATCACTGCCCCTAGTGATCGCTCAGGGCAGTCCTGAGCACCGGCCTTTTATCCTTCACCCCACTTCTACAGGGAAAACAAGCCAGAAAGACAGTGTGCACAGGAGAGAGAAATAGAAAACAAGTGTCCCCAGGACAGGCTGCCATGGGACATTCGTCACACAGGCCCTTTGGGCAACCACTGGTTTATCAACCTTCCTGAATCAGGCTTCCACACTCTGTTTTAGCCAAGAAGATAGAGCTGGCAGCTCCAGTAATCCCAAGACAGGAGTTTCTATGTTAGGTAACCTCCCCCAAACCCTCATCCTAGAGGGCAGGAAAGCACAGTCTGAAAATCCACATGGTCTGAGTCCTATTTGTAGCCTGGACAGCTACTGCTGCAGATTTCTTAACCTTCCTCTGTCCTCATATCCTGCCCCCACAAAAGCTCCTGTTGCCCCATCCATGGAGTCTGCGAAGAGGTCACCTGGATGTACATAACCTGCAGGAAGGCAAGTCGCAGCCTCAAACTCGCCATCAAACAGCTATCTGCTGTACCTCGACCCCTCTTTGGGGGAGGATATAACCTTCACTTGATGTCCCAGAGCGAAAGCTCCGGTGTGCCATCCCCAGGCCTGGTATTTCTCACTCCTGTATTCATTTCGACTCCTGCACCTGCCGGGAACTCACAGAGAAACTAAGGCACTTGTGCACAAGAGGCTGCAAACACCTTCCCACCCTTCCACTAGTGCCAAAAACAAGCCTGCTAATGCTAATCTACCCCCTCACTTGCAGCTCAACAGCTTTTCTCCTTTAAGCCTCTGATAATGGTTTTACTAAAATCCCCTTTTGATGGAAAAAAATCCCAGCTGGACATTTCAGGCCTCAGCACAATGTACAAGTCTGCAGGTCCCTTTCCCTACCTCACAAAGGCCTCTAATCAAGTGGAAAATGTGCTGGAGGCCAGAGGTTTGGGTCCGCAATTATTTTTTAAGGGATTACTAGAGAAGAATGGAGGCAGCGAGGACCTCCCCCCGCTTTGTTTTCCATTTGGTCCTGCTTTTAGACATATTGCGCCAGGAGTAGCCATCTAGCTCTCTAAAGCACCAGGGCCTTGTCTCCTGTCCCTGGCGGAAGGATGTCATCTTTGAACACCATCTCTTCAAAAAGATTTAGAGTTTGGAAGCAATATGCCTATCCTATTCTGACCCCATTTAAGCCCTTATTTATAAAACGGCTATCGAACAGGATCTGGTGTGAGGGTAGGGCACTCATTCATTAACCTCTAACCCCTGCTCTGTATGCAGAGGGGAGAGTTCGCACCATGTCCACACACTGCTAAGATTGGGGGCATTCACTGGGGCTTCCCAGGCTTTGGAGGGCAAGAGGTCATGTTCCCAATCTTGCCAGATATCCTTCTTCTTATTTATATACACTGACCCTTCCCCTTCACACTACGCGGAGCCATCAAACTCCTGATGCAAAACATGGTTAAAAATATAAAATGCTAATAATTTTATTAGCCTATTCAGAATCTTGATTTTAAAATGGACATGGCAGAAGGGAGTTTGTCTCCTCTGTGTATTATGAAGGCCTTCCTTGATGTCATTCTTAACACGTGTTCACTAAAGATGTAATTGATAAAGGTGACCATTTTAAGTCTGCCTTGGTTTTCATCATTCTATTTCAGCATAAAGAGACAACTCATCCCTCTAAACCTGGTTAGCGTTGTGTGTTAGTGTTCCCCTAAAAAAGGAAATGACATAAATGCCTAAGCTCATTTTGAAATGATCAAGAATTAAACCATTCAGCTCTAAAAGTTAGAACTCAACATATATTTTAAGCTAAATACCAGGCTGAGTAATAGTTTAGGACTTTTCTTCAAAGTCCCTAAAATACCTTTGGTCAAAAACAAAACAGCTACCAAGAAATCCCCAAAACAAACAAAAATCAACTCTGGTCTGTTTTTGTCAATATAAATGCCTCCTTGATGTTTTGCATCATTAATTTTTCAGTTCTCCCACAGAAGAACCTTAAACGATTGAGAACTAGGTGGACAGAAGTTCAGTTATTACATGTAATACTTAATGCCAATATTTAAGTAGTATTTTTGTTGGCCTTCACACTTCTTTTGGTGGGTGTTACAGGAGGAAGGGACCATCTAGTTTCCCTTAAAAAAAAAAGTTTCCCTTTAAAAAAAAAAAGCAAGAGGCTTCTTCTGGAGCCTCTCCCCAAATGATGACTGGACCACCTCTATGGTTATCAAAATGCTGTGACAGCTTTCTGTAGGGGTGAACAACCTTACCCCAACTTTAGATGAAGATGAACTTCCTGAGAAATGTGAACTGAGACTCTCCAGGGCATCAAAGGAGACGGTGGATTAACTTAGAGTTCAGAACAAGGTGGCCTGACTCCTTTAATACAGAGCAATCGTGAGCTGTGTCTGCCTTAGCAGCAGAGTCGGTCAAGCTTCCACTCAGGGTACGGCTGCCTGAATCAGTCCCTGCTCAGAAAGCCTGCTGACTTCTTTTCCTCCTTGGCTTATCGCCATTATAGTTCTCCACTGGTTTAACATACTACATTCAACAAAATATCAGTTGTTTTAGAAGTCACTCTTCTTACCCAAGTCAGTTTGCGGGAGAGTAAAATAGCAATTTGGAAACATTTCATAATTTGGTAAAATAGTTGTGATAATGTTTCTTGGATTTTTCAGTTCAGTTGAAAATGTTAGTATATTGGAATGTAAACATCTGTCAGATTCTCATCAGATCACAAAGTATCTTAAAACCAGCTAAAGGTCAGCTGTCTTAATGTCCCAGTCAAAAAACAAGATTAAGACAATTAGAATTAACAAGCACAAAGTATGGGGTTTTCAAATTAACTGAGAAAATTTTGCTGAAGGTCTAAAGAAAGAAGGAAATTATATTCTGAGGTTGGCATGTTATCAGTCCAAAGTTCACTGAGTCTAATTGGCATACCTAAAATAGCTAGGAAATGCCCTTGAATCCACAAAGAAGATAAGAAATATTACTTTTCTAGATTGTACAGGGTGGAGTAACCTACAGGGGGAAAAAGAGCCTGGATTCTCTATTGTTTTCTCTCCTCCTCTCTTTTGATAACTGAGGTCTACAGCTAACTCCTGCTTAAGTTGTCTCTGCTGCACTGCTTCATATTTCTTAAATTCTCCGAGCTCACACATTTTGCGTCACA